TATTTATAATAATGAAAAGAATTGGGAACAAGTTCTGTGTCCAAAATTTTCAATAGTGAAGGATTGCTTGAATAAATTATCACCTAACTCCTCTGTACAGCCATTAAAAGTCACACTGTGGAAGAATATCTAAGCATGTGAAAAAAAAACATGCATGTTACTTATGTGTGGCAGGCTAAGAAGGGTCAGAAGTTCAAGGTCATTCATCCTCAGCCATATAAGGAATTCTAGACCAGCCTAGTATACAATAAAAGAAAATTACATTTTCCCTCTCTGTTTGTATTTTCTGAGTTTTTTATGGCAAATATATGTTGTGTACATAAGTAAGAGACAAATAATTGCGTACTTTGCCAGAGGAACGAGAGTGTGCTGGGGAGGAAGGACTCACAGAGCTTAACAGTCTAGATGGGATCTGAGACCCGAACTCAGAGTTCAGGAAAAAGCCCCTCTCCCTGCCTCCCTCCCGGGGACACTCCCGAGAGAGACATTGGTAAATAAAATGAATGAACTCAGCTCTTCTTATTTTTAATTACAACTTGCCCAGTAATCACCATAATCACGTCGCTGGCATTTGTTTATTTAGTCACTAGGCATCTATTGAGTACCTACTAGGACAGCAGCTTCTTGAGACACAAGGAACCTCCAAACCAGCCCCTACCTGAGGAGAGCCTCAAGGCAAAGAATGGCCCAGGCGAAACAGTTCCCTGTGTGTATGATCTGCCATGGTGTTAGTGACTGCCTGCTGTGTACAAGATACTCTGTAATGGTCAAGGGTTGTGTTTATTTGCTATTTAGATCGTGACAAGATGTAAAGGAGCCAGGTCTGGTGGTGCACACCCTGATCCTAGGACCTGGGAGTTCTACAATCAAAAGGATTGTTAGAGTTAAGGCCAGCCTAGGGTACAGCAGAATACCAGACCAATCAGGGTGGCGCAGCAAGACACAAACAAATCAAGCACACATGGAGAGCTAGCTACGCTCTTGCCTCCTTTCCCACTGCGTCTCACGCCATGAATACTGACAGCAGGCAGACGCTCTCGTTGCCCTCTTGCTGAGTCAAGGAGAGACTGCTGTTAACCTGATGGCCACGTAGCTGGTCCTGGGTTGGGGGGTGGGAACTCAGACTGTCTACTTCAGTTTCGGGGAAGATGTTCTTTGTGTCCTCATCTGTATAATGGGTATTATGTTCATCAGTGTAACTACCTCTGATTGTCTGGGACTGGGGAGACAACACAAGTGCTCCTTGACACATAGTAACCACTTGATAAACATTGGCTCCTGATATGAGGTCAGGTTTTGCTTTTAGTCTTTAGAGGATTATGTACCAAAAAATAAAAATATATATATAAAGCCAAAGGAAGAGGTAAGCTTAGCTGCAATAGCGTCCAAGGCTTTCCTAATCATACTACAGAGGCCGGCTTAAATTTGTTTGTTTCATAATCAATTATTCAGACACAGTGTTTGGCTCCTGATCTCCAGAGATAAAGACACTGTCTGCGTTCAGTGGGGGCAGTGTGTATGGGGGAGGTCTCCCTGGAGACTTAGAAATAGGATAGGCTCTTGATTACAAGCATTCCAGCCAGAGGCAGGGGACTGTCCAGTTTTCCCTGGCCAGACACGGTCTCTAGAGACACCCCTTGGTCCACTGTGGACTCCCCCAAAATGTCAGGAAGTAGAAACCCAGGTGAAGAGCACTTCATCCACTTGTGATGGTTATACTAGATCAACTGTGCCAAGCACATGTTTGGCTCTCTCTAGTCATTCTACCCTAGAGCAGACACTTCAAGATTCCTTCATTCCAGTGACTGACGCATCAGTGAGGGAGCCATTATATTCCAAGCACTGTCAGAGGTACCCAGGACACCAAGGGCCATCAAGTCCCTGTTTCCAGGATGCTTCCATTCTAGCAGAGGCAGCCAGAAAGGAAACAGGAATCGATGCACAAGCAAACTCATTGTATATCCACAAACAGGATAAAGTAACAGAGAAAGGCCAGAGCTGCTGCCGCAGGAAGCAGCAGCAGCAGCAGGTGAACATGCTCAGTGGGAGTCCGTTGGGCTCCTGCAGCCTGCGAAATGGGCTGTCCCGGGCAGGGCCCAGAGCGGGAGACAGCCTGGTGCTTTCCAGGGTGGCAGGAAGTCAGTGTGACAGAGAGAAAAGGTACAGGGGAGGGAAGTGAGAGCAAGCAGGGGTCACATCTTGAAGGACTTGCTACAGAGGAAAGAGTTGGGGTTCATTGGAAGGAATGCTCCAGGATGTGTTTTTTTGGGGAAAAAGCAAGAAAATGAGTAGAAAGAGCACCTGGGTTCAGCCCCTCTTTGGAGTCAGGGTGAGCAACAAGCCCAGGAAAGCAGGGTGGAGCCAGGACGACCTGAGTGAGGCGGGAACCTACTTTTGGAATAGAATGTCCCCTAGTCCCTTACATGTTTTTCTGCCTTGAGTTAGGCGTGGGAAGGTGTTGGGCTCCAACGGTACCCTTCTCTGTCTACCTCTCCTGGCAACCTCTTGCTCTCTACCCTTCAGCCTTCCCAAGATGCTAGTCACCTACACAGGTAAGGTTCCCATTGAGAAAGTAGGAAGAGCCTTGGAAAAGGGTTGTTAGGGCCCCCGAAGGGAAAAAAAGAGGGGTGCAGAATAAGTAGGTTAATGGGAGTTTAGTGGACGAGATAGGTTTGTGAGGTTGAGGAGACTGTGGAAAGAAATGTGTAGTGGCAGGGATGCTTCTGGTGGGAAAGGGGGCAGAGCCAGATGCTAGATGGTGACATAGAAAGACTGGCAAACTGTCACCATCCTCTTTCTAGGCAGGCCTAGTTCATTGTCTAATTCATCCGTCTCTCACTGTGGAGAGTTTGGGCTCAGCAAACACAGACCAAGTGAATGAAGGAGCAATGAACTACTCCTGGAGGAAAAGGCGGACAGGGAACAAGGAGGGACGGAGGACAGGAAGGACCAGGGAGCAGAGGAGTACTGGCTGTCCTCAGGAGCAATGACAATTACTGGCACTTACTGATCAATATCTTGGCCCAAGCCCTTTTCCTGCATTAACTTACTTTAGTCTCTCAACGCCCCCAGGCAGTACATACTGTTATTATCCCCATTTCGCTGGTGAGCCAACTGAGGCACGGGGGGGGGGGGGAGTCAAATGTCTCCTTCAAGGTCACCCAGCTGGTGAGTGGCTGGTCATCAGGCCCCTTAGGTCAAGCTGCTAACTGCTTCTTTGAGCTGCTTCGGGAGTAAATGGAGACCCTGTCAAGCGTTAGAAGACCTGCTTGGCCAACTCTCAGATGGCAGTGACTCAGTTTCCCCCGTGTGGGCTGGCAGGATTGAGTCTGAGATCTCTGGGGGATGGTAGGGATGCTGCATGTTCTCTTGAGTCACCAGGTTCGAGTATCTCAGAGATGTTGCGTGAGGAAATCCTCACCCTTGGATGGGAGAGCAGAAAGGAGAGTTAGGCCCAGGGTCTGCTGTGGCTGCAAATAGTTCCTGTGAATTTCTGGAAAAGGGAGGAAGGGAAACAACAAAATGGACCAGAGAGGTGTCTACATCCCTAAATCTGGTCTTCGTGAGCTGACCAATAGTTCTGGGGGCTGGAAGGTTTTTGTTCGTTTCTTTTGGTTTGGGTTTGGGTTTTGCTCCAGCTTATTTTCCAGCAAGTGCTGTCACTTTGCATAGCGTCTAAAGAGTGTGAGACACCTCACAGCCATGGCCGAAAGGTTGTTTTAGGGACTCTACCTCCTCAGGGCCAGAGAGCCAGGGTCCTCAGACTCTGGCCACTTGCCTCTGGACCAATGAACTTTCAGCCTGTAGCAGGGCACAGAACACATCCCAGCACGTGTATGTCCCGGCGATTGCTGTACAAGATGTGGGGTCATGAGGCTGAGCAAAAGCCTCAGGGTAGGCCTCAGTCCCCGGCCACCGGCACTGTTTTACCAGCCTGTAACATTTTCTTTTCGCCTAACACACTGGGTAAAAGCACAAACCCAAAGCTGGGTCATAGTTTGCATTTTTGTTCTTTTATTCAATTAATAATTTACCTCCTTAGTACTATTGTGGTCAGTCTCTCACTCATCTTGTCTTATGGGATCCCCCTGCTATCCCTTCCTGTCTCACTTCTTCAATTTCCGTCCTAAATTTCTGCAGTAGAAAAAAAAAAAAATTAACACCATCACTGGTTCCATGCCGGGGTGTGGTGGCCTGGCTGGGAAAGGCAGGACCCAGGCTGGGGAGCCCTAGGACCCACGTGCGTGTGGACAGAGGAGGCCCTGCTAGTGTGCAAAGATGCAAGGTGTCCTTCAAGAGAGAAGAGAGAGGCTGTCACCTTCCGCTGCCAGGCCAAGGCAGCGGCTCTCCCAAGACACGTTGCTTTCTTTCGCTGTGGCTCTTTTCACTCTCCAGTATTACCGTTTTAATGTACGTGATTTGCCCTCCTCCCGCGCACAGAGTAAGGTCATTCTGCATGGCCTGTCTTGCTCACTTCAGGATTTATTTCTTGCACAAGAGCTAAGTGAACAAACCCCCCTCCCCCGCAGAGAGTAAGAGCAAAGAAAATATCAAACAGGGAACCATTTCATTCGACCCTTCTAACAGCCTGACTTGGGGGGAAAAAAAATAAAGCCAGTTTTCATTGAAAAAAGTAGGACCCAAACTCGGGGCGTCAAGGGGTTCAGAATAGCTGGAAAGTAATGCACCCTTGTCTCTTTCTCTCCTCTGTCCCGGTCTCAACTCCATTCACAGGATGTAGAAACCTCCCGGAACCGCAAAACGGAGCAGCGCTCCCCGATGCTGCTTCGCTGACCGAGCTCCGCGCGCGCACGCGGAGCCCAGCCTGGGCGGTGGGTGGGAAGAATGCGAGAGGGGACGGTCTGGGGGTGTGAGGGTGGAGCAGAGCTCGGTCCCGCGATCCGGCCCGGGTTTTGCATGCCACCCACTCGCCCGCTCGGCCGCGGAGAATTCCATAATCACAGCGGGCGAGAGCGGAGACTGGGAGCGAAAAATCCGGGATCCGGCAACTTTGGTCGCGCATGCGCGCCCGCGGCGCTCCATCCCAAACACACACACATTTTTCCCCGGACTTGGAAAGTCACCCAAAGCCGCCCCAAGTGCAGGTAAGAGACTCGGCGCTCCTTCCACCGCGCCCCCTCAAGCCCTCCACCTCTGCGGGCCTATCGGGGCGCCTCCAGGCTTCACCCCTGTCCCGGTGCAGCCCATTACCCCAGGGGTTGCCGCTTGCAGCAGGGAGCGGGCGAACGAGCGAACGACCGAGCCAGCCAGCCCGAGAGCGGCGGCTGCCACCAAACTCCGACCGTGCGGGAGGTAGGGGGCACGGGGGGCTGGCACCCCGGCGCGGGGCGGCGCGTCGCCCGCAGTGACCAGGGGCATGCCCGGCGAGCCGCTCCAGGGGAGGGAGGGCTGCAGCTCCCGGAGGGGGGGGTCATCTACTCCAGCTGAGGGGTCGGCGGGGCAGGGGAGAAGAGGGGGAGGTGCCAGGCACGAGTACAGGACTTTGCAACTAGGGTGGGGGCGCCCTCCGCGCCCCGGGCTGGGGGCGCAGGTGCCTGCCAATACCGGCTGGTCGTTCCTGCTCCCACGCCCCCCTCCTGCCGTAGAGGGGTCGCGAGCTGTCTGGAGAAGAGGAGGAGGCAGGGGTGAGGGGCTCCTGGGGTGACTTTTGGAGACTTTGCCCAGGGGAAGGGGTGGGTGGGGATCTTCTCCAGCCGGCTCTTGCGCCCGGGCACCGGGGTGAGTGTGCCGCCGGCAGAGGTAGGCAGCGTCCGCGTGGGCGCGGGGTGCCAGGGGGAGCTCCGTGTGGGAAAGCCGAGGCGAGAGGGTTCTTGGAGGAGGGAGCGGCGCCCCCTCTTCTCCCCAAGCCTGGGAAGTTTATCTCAAGTGCGGCGCTCCGAGCGCGGCAAGTGGCGCTCCTCTCCCCCCACCCCCACCCCCGGGGCTCCCCGGCTCGGGCTGGCAACGCGGCGCTGGGGCCGGAGAGTCGGAGCAGCGGCCCCGGCGGCTCAGCTGCCGGCGGGAGCTCGCCCGGGGCTGGGGAAAAGTTCCGAGGGAGTTGTGGCGGCTACTGTGTGCGCGAGAGAGAAGTTGCGCCCGCCCGGGGGGTTTGGGACCCCGGGCTAGCAGGCCCGATTGCGGGTGGAGCGGTGAGCCGGGGCGCCGGGGCTGGGCTGGGGGCCCTCCCCATGGGCGGGGGGCATCGGAGGTGTCCCGGACCCTAGGTGGGCCGAGGAGCACCCAGGGGCTTAGCGTTGGGAGAGGAGTCTCCCTGAAGCCAAGGGCACGGGGCTGAAACAGGCTCCTGGTAGAGGGCAGAGAGGAGAGCAGCTTGAGGGGCACAGGGGACAGTAAGGGGGAGGTGGCGGGGCCACCGGGACACTCGGGTCGAGCTTCAGCGCGGGAGCGTGGAGCGCTCACTGCCGGGATGTCGGGGCGCGGGGCTCCGGGGGGTGCGCGGGAATCCGGGGGGACCCCGCCGGAGGGCTCCGGGACGGGGGGCTGAGGCGGCCGGGCGGAGCGGCAGCCGGTTTATTTTTACTCGGTGGCATTTGCAGAATGTGCAGCTGATGACCGCCGGCCGCCAGGAAGTTTTGCTTTCTGTTCTCGCTCTGTCTCTCCGCAGCCAGCGCGGCCGGGAGCGGGGGAGCCGGGGAGCCGGGCCGGGAGGGGAGGGGAGGGGGCGGCCACGGGGGGGGGGGGGGGCGGGGGGGCCCCGGGGCCGCGGGCGGGGTGCCCGGGGGCGCCGGGCCGCGGAGCCGCGGCGGAGCGAGCGTCCGTGCCCAGCGGGCGGACCCTCCTCCGCCAGGGGAACAGGTGTATGCGCCGTCAATCACGGCGGAGGCACCGGGGGGCGTCGGGCGGGATCGCAATAATAGCTCTTTCCCCAGGGGGTGGGCGCGGATTCCTCCTCCGAGCCCCGCCGGCGGGGTCCGGAGCTGGGGGAGAGGAGGAGCGGGCCGGGGACCGCGTCTCCCCGCAGACAAGTTTCTCCGCACTCAGCCCCGCCTGGCGGAGCCGGCCGGCGCGGCGAGGACCTTCCCCGGGCAGGGCGACGGCGCGGGCGCCCGGGCTGAAGATGCGCCCCGCGGGGCTAACACCCCTCCTCCGAGGCGGAGCTCCCCCAACCCCGGCTGAGGCTTGGGGACACCGAGGGTGTACGTCGCTTCTCCAGAGGAGTCTTGGGGGCGGCCCGGCCCTCGGCTTGTGTGTGTGTCTGTGTGCGACTTGTCCAGCCAGCGCTCAGAACAGTTACAGAGCTAGGGCTGGGACGGGGTCCGGGATGGAGGGGTCTCCGGACAAAGTTGGCTCGTTCAGGCCGTCTGTAAGCTGGTGCCGGCGCGCGGTGAGAGCGCACAAGGGGACTGGGAAACAGATCGCCTGGCAACGTTAGTGACACCCCTACCCCCGGGCCCAGCGTGCGCGCGTACACACACACACACACACACACACACACACACACACACACACACTCACACACTCACACACTCACACACACACTCACACCGCCGTCTTAAAGGGAGCTGTCCCGGCTGAGCAGGAGCAGCTGCGCCAGGCGGGGGGCGGGGGTAGTTGGTCCCCCGGGGCTGCGCCCCGACTGCACTCCACGTGCCCGGAGGGGGCGCTGGGCAGATCCGCCAGCGCTTGGCTGGAGCCCCGGTGGCGGCCAGGCGGTGCGTCCCGGGCGGTCCTGACGCCCAGCACCGTCTCAAACAATTGGAACCACTTTCCCACTTCCCAAACTTTAGCTGTTCATGCTTTGCCCCTCGCTGGAGCTCTCGGGCCCTTTCCTGGACACGGAAGGAGAAACTTCTGCAGTCTCCGCGGCCGTCCAGCGTCAGTCTTCCCGGAACCTGGCGCATCCAAGACACCCCCTCACCCCATCTTGTTAGGCACCTTAGAGGCAGTTTAACGAGGGTTTATGGGAATATTGTTGAACTTCAGTAATCAGGTTTCCAGCGATCTTATGCCTCCTGTTTAATTTATTAGACTAGTTATTTATTCTGTTGATGATAATCTGTTGCTGGTTTCTATGGAGATGTTAAACTGATCTCTTTCAGAAATCAAACTCCATATGCACTTAAAACGTTTAAAGAGCCAGCGCCTCCCTCTCTCCCCACCTTGCCCTTTTTTGTTTTATTTTGTTTTTTAGACTTTGCACCTTCGTGTCTCGCCCTGAATATCAGTTCATTTTATTTCCTTCTGACGAAGGAGAGGAGCCCGGGAGACTCCCGCTTCGTGGCAAGTAGAGCTTATTATGGCTAACAGAAAAAGAAGGCTTTGATCAGCAAGTTGCGTCACCGTTTAAAACACATCATCTCACCACCAAGCCCCCCCCCACAGAAGAGCAAAATTCTTTCAAGATCAAAGGGGCCAATCTGAAAAAGAAAAAAAAAAAAAAACTATTGTTAAAAAAAATAGGAAAGTCAGCTAAATAGGCACCTCCTCCTTTCTATGTGCTTGCCTTGTGTTTCAATGATTTTCTGAATAAGGAAAACAAAATTCAACTCATTTTTCATTCTTATTAATAGTGTATCTTGCCCCCCTCTCTTAATTTAAAAAGTTCAAAGTTAAATTTCTCTGCCTGTGGGGGTTGAGGTATATTTACTTTCTTTGAGATCCTGACCATCTGTTTTTGGAAATTTTGCCTCTGGGAAGAAGGGGAAAGGATTTTGCTCAAAGTTAATAGAGTGCTTTAATTTTTCTCCCCCTTTTGGAAAGTAGTCACCCAAAATTTTTAAGTCCTAATTTTTTCTCTTGCTCTTTAAGAGATTAGTAACGTCTGGTTGGTGTCTAAAAGCACACCAACTTTTCCTCTTTTCTCCTCGGTGCAGTTTTTTCCCCCCTGTACACTTGTGACTTTGGTGGTCATGATGGGGGGGGGGGTCGGTGAATCAAGAAAGTAAGGCAGAAAAAAATCGTCTTGATTGGTGACATTCTGAAAAATTGCAAACCTACTCTGGCTCTGATATTTATCACACTGACAGATATGATACAAAGCGATTGCATTTCGTAATGATCCTTGGGGACTAAGTTGTAGGTAAAACCATTTAATGCATTTTTAATATTAAAGTAAGACCCAGGCTCCATTCTCTTGGAGGTAGGGGAATGGGTGTCCTTCTACAGAGCTGGTGCTTTCTGAGTAGCCCCCCCCCATACATTTCCATTTACTTCGTGTGGGGGGGGGCATCATACAGGACATTTGGCTTTCATAAATAAATTTATATCTGGCCAGAAGGCCCAATACTAAATAAGAGCTCACTTAAAAAAAAAAAATCAAGACTCCACCCTGCTATAAGAAATAAAACAGGCAGGACTGCCCCCCCCACCCCTGCTTCTCTCTTCCATGCTCTTATTTTGCAGGGGGTGGGGTGATTGTTGCTTTTCAGTTCACAGGAGAGAGGGGGAAGCTGATCCTGTTATTTCCCTCTTTGCTATATTTTAAATTTTTGTTTGATTTGGATTGCAAACAGAGCGGAGGCTTAGGAGTAAAAAGAGCACTGTGGCTTTAAACTCAGGAGTTTGCATATTCTCCTTGTATCTTTCCCCTTTGCTAATTATTGTGTTGTTTTCAGAGCAAATATGTCATATCCATGGCGACCGGGCAGGTTTATTGTCTTTCTGAAGCAATAGCTCACATAAGTAATTAATGACTTTCTTTTTTTTCCTCTGGCTTAGGTTAAACAGATCATTCAAGGAAAGTCATCTCTCTCTCTCTCTCTCTCTCTCCCCACTCTTGTTTGTTTTTTTTTCTTTCTTTTTTTTTTTTTTCTTTTTAAAGCTCTGTAACATAAGAACATGAGTTAGAACAAGAAAATACTTTAACTGAAAGAGTCAACAGTTTATTTCGCCCGGCTTCTTTTAAAAGCTGAAATGTCAGCCCTCAGACCTGGGCACTGTCATCTCCCACCCCTGCGCAGTGCCGTCCATGCGTGGGCTGCTAGCGCCCGGAAGGCCTGCAAGCGCTGGTGCTGGGTGTGGGGTGCTGGAGGAATGTGCTTTTGAGACTGGGGGCAGCAGTTCAAAGTGAGTATTTCTCCTGTATTTAGCAGAATTTAATTAAATTGTTTACAGGGAAGAATTAATGAGTTGGTGGCAACATGCC